CAACTTACCGATATTCCTAACAACGTTCGAAATGCGATTATTAATCGAGCTGAAAATGCTGGTAATAATGGATGCCAGCATGTAAAACGTGGTGGTCGATGTTTCGACATAATATTCGAATGTATGATCTAAAATATGTAAACACAAGAAGAGCCTTGGATGTATTATTTGAATTACAAATCGAATTGATAATGATTTATGTTCTTCTTCCCTCGATTATATGAGTCAACAATGTTTGAAAATGAAATATGAGTCAGATCAATGATTTCTCCAAAGTTTAACATCATTCTTTTGTCCTTGAATACGAAAAAAAAGTTTTCTTTGCGTCTGAGTCATAGCAAACAGGTGTATTTAGTAATGGTGTTATCTCGATTAATTATTCCTTTCAAAATGTCATTTAATAGAAGGTAAAATGTAATAAAAATTTGCACAGATGGAGAAAAAAAACAAATCGAACGTGTATATATCAGATTGCATACTCATATAATCAAAAAAAAACAACAGCAGCATAGCGTCTATTAATATTCTCTCTTCTCTTTTTCTTTTCTTTTCGTTTCTTTTCACTTTATCACAAAGTTTTCATCGGTATCAATAGCGTGGGAACCGAAATCAATGGCTGATCGAACAGAGAAACATGGATTTGCTAAACAAGCGTTCGATAAGGTTAGTTATGTAAGATTTACAACTTATCGATAAACTACTCGAAGAGAAAAAAAAACGATAAATTTCTTCGACGATCATTAATCATTGTTAGTGTTATATTCAAAGATAAATTTTTAGTCGTGTCTAAATTCTAATCATTTAAATGTGAACCCTGGGGCGTTTTTCTCCGAACCAGACATGTCAACATGTTGTTACGTTCAGAAAAATAGAAATATTTATCTATATTAAATCTTAAAAATCTGACATTTACAACGATGAGTGTAAATACAAGTGTACCGAAATTAGGATTGACTGATGATACGAAGCAAAAAGTAGAAGAAAAGGAATTGAAAAGAATCGACTGATTACGCACGAGTTTTTCATTGATAGATTCAATCGAAATATGATGTTGGACAAGCACAGGAGGCTTTACAATGGATTAGTCAAACGATTGGCGAAGAATTTGATACAAATGGAGAAATGGATAATGTTTATAATCAACTACGCGATGGACGGAAACTTTGCCAGTAGGATTTCAGAGTTTAGAAAGAATACTCTCATGTTTTTCTGCTTAGATTAATGAATAAAATTGTACCGAATTCGATCCCGAAAGTTAATAGTGGTGAGTTTATTGATGCGAAAAGATTTCCTCGGGATTGAAGATGTTTGTAGGTGAAAATAATTTTAAATTAATGGAAAACATCTCACGCTTTACTCAAGCTGCCCGTTCGTATGGATTGTCGGACTCGGAGACCTTTCAAACAGTTGATCTTTACGAAAAAATGAATCTGCATCAAGTTGTTCTCTGTATTTTTGCGCTCGGTCGTAAAGTAATCCAATATTGTCCTATGTAATTTCTTTCAACTAAAATATGCGTTTTAAGGTACAAAAACAAGGCATGCAAGGTTTAGGTCCAAAGGAGAGCGAAAAGAATCAACGGACATTCTCCCCGGAAACTATTATACAAGGAAATACTGTCGTGAGTACTCAGTATGGCTATAACAAAGGCGCAACACAGTCCGGTATTAGTTTCGGTAGTACGCGTCATATGTAATTAGTACATTTTATCGCATTTTGCCCTTCTGCTTGATTGAATTGATTCATTTGATGTAGTTTTTATTTAAATTTCTCTTTTATCTCAATGTAAGCTGATATATTTATTACAAAAACAAACGACACAAACTTTACACTCGATCAATAAATTCCTTCTTAAAAATCAAGTCGAAAGCTGAGCTTACTTGAGCAAATCAGTCTTCTGTTATGAGGAGATGGATGACATATATCTAACTGGTTATTATAAAGACAAATGAGTAGACAAAACATATAACCGGTTTCTTTTCTTTTTCTTTTCTACATATAACAAGATTTTACCTCACTATGGGATAAGAACAGACGTCCAATGATGCATATAATCTTGACATTATGTAAGAAAAATCTACATCAATCGAGTACAATGTCATGATGGTGACGATGAGAAGTCTATAAATGCCAAGAACGAGACTGAAAAAATCGAAATGATGCTCAAAATCTTTGAAACGAAGAAATTTACATAAAATAATGGAATTGAATTTTTGATTATATTATTCAAAGTAGTCCAAAAAGTTCAATTCAATAAGATTTGAGTTTTTCAACCGATATTTACATTAAGCCACGCACCAACTTCGCTACTTGATTAAATCGTCACATTGTCCAGCTATCAACACCATGCAGAAAAAGTTGAATGATATAAGAAAATTAATGATTAATAAAGATAACATCAACTGCAAACATCATCATATCGACGAATAGGACTCAGACAGAAGATTACAACTAATATCATCTTAATTCGTATCAAAACATCCATACCGCAATTAGATTTAAAGTGACTAAAAGGAGAATATACGTTGATTCTATAATGTATATGAGGATTGCTCTATTGATGAGTCATCGGTAGGTGTCAGTGGAGTCAATTCATTGATCAATGCGGAGATGGACCTCTAATTTCTCTACAATGTGAAGATATGCGATATATTATTGAAAAAAACTAGAGACATTGGTCAGCAAAGAGTATTCAGCATTTTGTAAAAAGTGGGTTGATAGAATTGTTTTTCTTTTATTTTATGTTGAGCGGGCGTCTAGTGGGTTTTGCTTGTGAAATGGAGGAAATAACGACTTTCCTGTTTGATAAAATGATATAAATGACGAACATTCAAAGCAGATTAAAATCATTTGTTGTAATTTCAAGTACAATTACGTTATATAACGAAAAACAAGGTAAGAAATTATTTTTCTCACTATTTTGCTTTCGCCATTTTCGATTGACATTCATCAAGTGCAATATAGATGTGTAAACTAAGTCATGCGCTAAAAGATCATAGACTCGCATCAGTTATGGCAATGATAGTTGAATATACCAAACTTATTCTTCTGACATATTCGTTCTTGAATGTTCTCAGATTGAATAAGGACATTCATGACTAAAAGGAATCATTTGCAACTAATCACTGACTGAGTACGTAATGTACCTTCTAATCATATTTTCTCGATTATCAGGCAAAGCGCTCATTTCCTTAATCTGTTAGGATCCATCATCATCTACACCGTTCAATATATGAATGAGTTTTCAACATATCAGTTTCTTCCTCATTGACGCAATTCGACCAGTCAGCCAAATCAAACCAGCCGATTTACTACAAGAGCATAGAAAATATTTGAGTAAACGCAATCGTAACAGATTAAAATAACACAACATATTGCGTTCTCATCTGCCACGGCTGATGTAAATTTTAAGTCCATACACTTCTATAAAAAACCTATATACCACACAATGTCTAATCACTAACATCAAACTCATCAACAAAAATACTTTCCTACATTTTCGCATCATCCACCATCCAACAAATGTCATCTATCACAAACTAAACACAACTTCTGTTATTCTTTCATGAATATCCATCCAAAATCAAAACAGACACATTTCCTTTATTAAATTGACAATCGCTACAATCCAAACCACGTTGTGTGTGTGTGTACAAAGAATCTGTTCGTCAACATCGATGACGATATATTGCTTCAGACTGTCAGTTGACATTTTACATAGATCTTCAGCAACCAGTCGTCAGTCAATCACTGTTTTACCTAACTTGATTATCGATCAAACGATGGTGTGAAAGTAGATTATGCGATTCTTCTTTATTTTGCTCTGGATGTGATGACTGTATCATTAGTCATTGCACACCTATGGGTTATCTGTCAAAGCCATGAGACAATCAGATCAATACTTCAACTGACAGTCTCATAGCAAAGAAACAATTTGACAAGCACGATCTCATTAGCGGCTACTAAAATCCTTCTTTTGAAAGAAGTTTTCATCAATTTTTTCTCTTGTCTTTCTAACTGTCACCAGTTTTTTCCGTCTTTATATTTACAAAGAAATCAAATCTTTCATTAAACAAGTCACGAATCCTATGAACTCAACGTGACAATGACAATATTAGTACTAAGAAGATTATTCTTTCCTTTATCAATATCACTTCAGTTTATCATCACAAATCTCGGGATTGTCTTTGACACGATCATGGTCTTTGCATTCTACAAAACAGAATCTGTTCTTGTTTTCTTTTCTCAAGCTATCCTCTCTCTCTCTCTCTCTCTCTCTCTCTCTCTCTCTCTCTCTCTCTCTCTATGTGCGAGCGATAACGAGGCTGAAGAGAAACATTTGCTGGCATGTATCTCAATGGCACAAGCTAAGTCATTGAGAAGAGGTGGCAAAAGTCAACATCGGTAATCCGTTTGCTATCATAACTAACAATGATAGTTTTCCTCGCCTCAAACATCATTAGAATGCAACCACACACCCACACACACACAGAGACATATTACAAAGACATAGTTCAATTGAAACACCAGGAGAATGTCAACAATTATCGTTGTATATGTAGGAGATAATTGGCACACTTGACAATATGTGTTTTATCTATACGGATTGAGTCTTGCAAATCTTTCTTCTTTTTCTCGATTACATCAAGATCTTCTTCTTCTTCTTCTGTTTCTTCTTCTAGTTCTTCTCTCTCGTTGATTCGTGTGACGTTCGCGCGCGTTATGTCAATTTTTGTGTTTTCCGATCAAAATTCCAATCTTGTCTTTCACTATTCTTCTTTTCTTTTCTTTTCTTTTCTTGATCCTGTTCCATCATCCTCATTGTATAATAACAGACATAACGAATTTAACATCTCTTTGTCTTTTTCTAGTGAAAAGCCAATTGAATTAGCAGCTTTTCTCGGCACAAACTCGATCGATATCGAACAAAGTATCGTTCGCGATCTCATCGTCTTTGTTATTTTGTGGTTGATGTGTGTGACAAGTGGAAAAGTGGTTTGATGGCAACATCAACTCACGTACGAGGAATTCAGGCGATACATGTTCGAGATCCTTCGTATCGACCTGTTTCACTAAAATCGTATCCAAGAGCGTTGAATAATGAATCGATGTCGACTGGTCGTGTTCCATTTTCAGCAATTCGTAACAGTTCCATGCCAGCTCCCACATCTTCAAGTGGAATTATCAAACCAATTCCAATCACGGAAAAAAGACAATCATCAATTATCAGTCTTGGATCTATTCTTCCCCGTCGAAAAAGTCTACAAACAACAGCACTTGCAACACGAAGACAAAGTCTATGGATGAATCTTTCGAAAAATGCCACATCGTCAACTAATCCACCACCTCTACTTCTTCCACTTGCACAAGATCATTCAAGTCTACTACGAAAGAAGATCTTACGTCTCCTTCTAGTCTTCAGTTATCTTCTCTCCATATCCATCTTTGGCATCGCATTAGCAACTTTCTACGGATTGTTTTGGTCGGGCTACAGCTCATCCCAACCAACAAATATTCTCGATATTCGCATAACAACTCCATCATCATCATCATCTTCTTCATTTCCATCCAACAAAACTTCACAAACAGAACATGTAAGTTGAGAAATGAATCAGTCAATCATATTCCATATTTGACACATCTCTCTTTTTCTCCTCTCCACAGAATTTATTGGACGAACATCCATCCTAACATGACAACAATCGTTCGAATATCGATGAAATCATTCATTGATCGATTCGGAAGAGTGAGATTTGTATTCATTCGTGTCTACCGTTATCAACGAAGAAAAGGGTAAGTGACATGAAAGAAGAGAAGTATACAGTTTGTGTATCTGTTTTCTGTTTTCTCTTTCATTAGATATGTGAGAATAGATAAATTTAATGATGTTAATTGAAAGTTTATGTTGTGTTTCACAGCATGTGTCATCATTCGGTGATGTTTCTTTGTCTTCTATGTCTATATGTTTGTACTTCTTTTTGTTTCTTTTTGTTGATGATTGCAGAAAATAACATGTGATAGAAACAGAAGATCTGTTTGATTTAATCTGTTTTCGCTTGTGTGCATTGAGGAATGAAATGGTCACAGTAGGCGGGTTTTTCGTGAATATACGAAGTGAAGTGGGAAATAGATAGAAATAATGAGAAGAAGTTTGAAATGTTTGGGTGAAGAAAGAGTGATTTGTTTTTGTTTTAACTCGATATGACAGAGTGTGAGTGTGGGAGAGTGAACACATCTGAATGAAATTTTAATGAGATAAAACTTGTTTGTTTGTAAGAATGATCAAAAGTGAATTGTTGTCAGTTGATGGTGTATTTTCTAGAAGAAAGGAGCTTTCAACCATAGGGTATCCTTTATTTTGATCTAGGTGACATAACAAAAGATATGTTGAATGTTTAAAAGCATTCGGATAGAAAACACCATAGGAATCTAACTAGAACTCCAAGGGCCTACTTTCTTTTAGTTGTAGGAGATGTGACGATCAATCAAATTAGCTTCAATGACTTTGTTATCTATTACAATCAATATATTTGAATCGAACAATTCAAACATTATGTCTTCATAAGTACCTAACTACTTGAGAATGACATTGTCATTTGAATATGTTCCAGTGAATCTGGTCCACTTCGATCAAAGCACAGCGTGATGCATCGTTGAATAAAAGATTTTGACAATAGAAGATAAGATTTCTCAGTTACACATTTATTCATAACTATTTCTCCATTCCGTGTAGAGGTCCTTGTACAAATAAAAATTCACTAGTTAATCGTGTTGGAAACAATTTCCATGTTCCCGTAGAAGTTCACGATGACACAAGAGTCAATAAAGTGTGAGAAAGAACACTCTCGGTATCAGTTTGCACATCTCGTCGTAAATTACACATCGGAATGGAAATGAAGAAATTTGCATTGATATACAGATTATGTCAGTAGTGATCGATAGTTTTTTGCTTAAATTTATGTAAACTTAACAACAGAGACAAAAAGAACAATAACCATCGTTTAAAAACAAACCGAAAACACCAATAAGGATAATAAATAGAAGGAAGAAAAGTCATTTTTTGTGGTGTAGTACTATATTGAAATAAATAATAAAAGAAAGAAGGAAAGAGGCATCGAAAAAGTCTATAAATATGTCGACTGAAGAAAAATAAAGAGAAAGCTTTAGACATGTTGCACAACACCTGAGCACGTCGAACATATGTAGAAATTTTGATCAACAAATGCTAACTTGACAGATGAATCCTTATTTTGCACGACGGAAATGTTATTCTGTCCTAATTCTTTGATTATCGTTAGTATCCGTGCTTTCGTCTCATCAGTAAATTGAGGTAATAGATGATGGTTTGTCTCTAATTGGCCTGAAAATACAATTAGCTCAAGAGATTCTGTCCGGACTGGAAATTCTCGTTTATTTACCATTTGAGTTCGATTGATTGACTGGAATATTTAAAGTTTGAATCATTAACGTTTCTAACTGTGAAATTTTCTCCTAGAATATCAAAGAAACCGATGATAAAGTGACGAATTTGTACAAAATTGAACCTGTAAATGACATTTGTCTTGTGTCAATTGTGAAATACAATCATCCTTTTCTTGATAACGCTTCTGAAGTTGTTCACGTTGTTGTTGATATAAACGAATATAATCACCGATGGTGTCCGTTTCGTTTTGTAATTGAAGAATCACATGTTCGAGATGTTGAATTTGATCTTTCAATCCAATATTTTCATGCATAATTTGTTGATAAGTTTCCTGAAACAAAACAAATTTCCGTGTCAGAGTTTTTCTGAAGTAAAATATTAACTTACGAGAAGTTGAGTTGAAGTTTCGGAATTGTGAGTCGAGTCTGTGGATGATGGTGGTGAAAATCTTATTTCATTGTTAGTTTGAGTTTCTTGTTGATTAATCGATTTCGATTGAATCTGTTCGAGACGTTCATTCAATTGTTTATTCGATTCTTCGATAATTTCAAGCTGATTTTTTAGATTTTTTGTATATTCTTCGTCATTTTTTTCGCTTGGCGAATCTTTCGATTGTTTTAATTCTGTGATTAGTTCGTCTTTTTCATTCATTAATCTAAATAAATGAAATGTATCCATTTCCATATCTATTCGAATGAATTACTTGGTCATTTGTTCTAATTTAACTCGAAGGTCTTCATATCGATTGGACCATTGATCAATCGCATTTCGAAATAATTCATTCTGCTGTTGAAGAGTATCATATTCAACTACAGAACTTCGATCATTTAATTTCATTTCATTTTGTTCATCTTGAAGTATTTTATTCGCTTGTGTTAATTGATTAATCTACATTTAGCAAAAAAAAACATGAAGATTTCCGAAAACATCACGAAGAAGAAGAAGAAAACCAACTTGATTGGTCAAATCTTGAATATGGTATTGCATGTCGGCGTTGTGCTTCTGATATTGTTCATTATCGGAACGAATTCGATTGAGTGATGAATGAAGCTGGATAGAAATAAAAAACCATAAAGAATTATTCGTTGCAATCCAACTCCTTACCTCTTCGATCTGAGTATCTTTCAATGTGATAGATTGTTGTAAATCTTTGATGTGTTGTTCCACCTCTGATGTTTCGGTGTTCAACTAGTTGAAAACAAACGAAAGATTTATGTTCTGATGGAAAATTGTGTAACAAACTTGAGATTGGATTTTCAATTGTTGCAATTCGGTATTTAGTTGATCGAAACTGATTTGTCGATCGTGAAGTTTACCATTGAGTTCAGTGATAGTTTGTTTAAGATCTTCGATTAATTGACTAAAATGAGAAAATCTTGTTGATATTTTATGAGATTGTTCGAAGAATCTGCTCACCTTTGTCGGATATTTTCGATTTTCAATCGATCATTTTCTTTATCGGATTCTTTTGCTGCCTGAAAAACTTCAATAAAACTCATTTGGTTATCAAAATGCTTCGAACCATTTCTCGTTTTTGTACATTCGATGTCGAATTTTGAATTTCTTTTTCTAATTCTTGAACGCGTTCACGCGATGCTTTCAAACGTCCATACAATTCATCCATTTCACTCTGTTTTCGTTCTAATTGTTTAAACGATTGAGTTAACTTTGCTGACATATCACTTTTGTCTGCAACTAAGATTCCTATGGTTTGCATATGCATCTATGTGAACTGATTGGCACACACAGGTCGTAAAACTTTCGAAAAATGTTTACTTCAAGTTGCTCTTGTAAATGTTCGTTATCACGACGTAGTTTCTGTTCGGCATCGACTGAAGTTTGACTGAATCGACGAGACTAAAACGAAATTTGTCCATTGGAAATCTTTTTTCTCGTATGTGATGTTTACCATGTTACTTCCATCGCTGGACAAACGTTGACTTTTGTCTTGTTTTGGATTTTCAATCACTACGCCATATTGATGTTGTTGATCCTGAACTACGCGCATGAAGTTAGTGCCGATGTGTAAATATGCTTACTAGTGGTCTTTCGAAATTCACATTAGGAAGTTGTGGTATGGCTTGATAAGCTCCATTGAGAGGAAATTGTTGTTCATTCATGAAGTTCGGAATACTTTGTGGTCTAAACAGAAGTTTCTATTTGATTTGAAAGATTGAATTCACTTACATCATGTTCTGATGCATCATTGAATCAACGGATGGCTAAAGAAAAGTCAAATTATGAAAAGTAGACTGAAGAAAAAAGAGATTTACCGTATTAGATGGATGAACATTATTTTCGTTCGGTTCGGGTAGATTTGGCTGTTGTTGATCTCGAAATTTTTTCAACTTTCGCCGAGCATTCGCTAAATTTTCCTGTTTTTCTTCGTCCACCATGATTTTTCTGTTCAACAGATAATCGAAGACACCAAATTTGACTTGACAACTGATCGTAGTGTTAAATCAAAATTTTGATATTAATGGGTACTTATTGGACTGAAATAATGGATCTTATCGTGTCGACAGGCGTCGCTGTTCGACATGACCGATAACAAAAATTAATTATTGGTCAAACATGTAGCATAAGGACGAAAGAGACTTATGCTCGGATTGGCTATTCTATTTACAGTTGTTCAATTCTTTTTCTTCATCTTTATATCGTTTTGTTTATTTTTTTGTCCGTTGTGTCAGGAAAACAAACCGCATTGCAAATTTACCTTCTTGAACAAATCCAATTTGCCAATCAACAATCACTTTTCCTTTTAGAAGAATGCAAGAATTTTTCTACTGAATTTCTTTTTCTACTGAATACTGACTGATGGCTTCGTGCATGTATCGTGTAGGCGGTAAGGAAACCGTTCGGAGCTGATTTAGACCTCGAGCAATGAAGTGTTCGTTTAGATTATGTCTACTTTGAAGGAAATCCAACGGAACCATATCTAATTCGACGAATTGAAGAGTTGAACAAAGTACGTCGAGCTTTGCGAGAGGAGCTTCGCGAGATTTTCATTCTTGAATTTTAGACTCCGAATGGTAATGTTGAAGCACGTGTGGCTTGCTTTTATCGTCGTCGCGACATATCCTCGTATCTAGTCAATCAAGTTGATCGCTTAAAAAGCGACGGTACAGAAAAGTTCTTTATCAATTGTCCTGAAAATGCCCTCGCTTTTTTCGTACAGGTCCGTGGGAAGATGATGATGAAATTCCAAATGATTCGTCGAGTACGAGTGGACAACAAACGGAATTATCGGATACTCAAAAACATCAATTGCGCCATCGAGAATTGTTTTTAACACGACAAAATGAAACATTGTTAGCGACCAATATCCGTGGGAAATGTTTAGTGACGTTACATAATGAAACGGAAACATTTCTGTCGTATGTTAATTCTGAGGTTAGTCTTTTTCTATCGAAAGAGCTCCAGAATGTTCATTCCACTATTCATAGGACCTCTTCTTTTATCAATTGGTTTATGATCCAAATCAAAAAAGTCTCAACGCTGATCGAGGCGAAATCCGTGTTGGTGGAAAATATCAAGCTGATGTTCCAGCTCAACCGATTTCGAACGATGGAACACAGGGTAAGAGAAATCTAACGATCCTCATCGTCAATGCATTCTTTCATTACTAAAGATAATTCACCCTCGAGAGAAGATCTAATTTGGGATGCAAATGGTGGTCTAACAGAAAAACAAATCGAACAATACTTGATTGTCGCAAGGTAAACAACAGATCGAAGCAAACAAAATATTACTTTGGTTTTTAGATCCATTGGCACATTTGCTCGTGCGCTTGATTGTCCGACCGCATTGAAACATCCGAGTCTTCATATGAGTGCTGCGTCCGCCTCGCGTGATGCGACATTGGTAAGCAGAAGCCTACTCTAATCATTTATTCAACATTTGTTTTCATTAGTTTTTTGCCATGGATGCCCTACATAAACATCACTATGACTTAGCTTTGGCTACGTGCAGTTTAGTACCAAACACCGGTCCGATTCTTGTTAAAGATCAAATGGAAGATTGGTCGGCAGCGGAAGCCAACTCTTTCGAAGATGCGATTGAGAAATGTGGAAAAGATTTTCGCGAAATTCAAAAAGAATACGTAAAAACGATGATTCCACATGAAAAAAGAAGCTTCATTCTTATTCATCTTTGTTTAGTTACCATGGAAGAGTTTGAAAGGCATTATAGAATATTACTACATGTGGAAGACAACGGATCGATATGTTGTTCAGCGACGACTGAAGTTAGCTGAACAAGAAAATAAACTCAAACAAGTCTTCATACCAAATTAGTTCGTAGTCAAAAGTTTTCAAGGGGGACGTTTTTGAAAAAATTATTTATTTAGCAACAAAGCACATCAGTGTCTCCTTCCTCAACGCCCACAAAATGAAAGCAAACCGTGTGAATCATGCGGAAGTACGTCAAATCAACCTTTTTTCCAAAATATTTATTCTAAACGTATGTGAGTGTAGCGACTTCATCAGCTCAATGGTACCAATGGAGTTCTGCTCAACCACATACAAGACTTTGTGCTGAATGTTGGATTTACTACAAAAAATTAGGTGGTTTGAAGTATCCGAAAAAAAGTGGTAAGACAATTGAAATCAATACATTCTGTATGTAACACATGATTCGTTTTTTTTCAGGTCCGGATCGACGACAAGGTTTGTAAAGATTTATGTTAAATTCATCTGCAAACATTCGAATCGAATTATTTTAGAGCGTGCTGCGAATATCAACAAATTGGTTACCTATAAATGTAATATCAATGGTTGTGAAAAGGTAAATATTGATTTGTACTTGAATTGTTAAACATCTTCTTGTGACTTTCAGGAATGCAAAAATAAATCTGCCCTTCATCGTCATTACGCTCTTACACATGGTACAGCATTTCGATCAGGCAGCCCTCGACCATTATCCAAACCACGCAATACATTTTCTTTGTATACAACACCGTTATCACGTGCTGTTCGTTCATTGTGTTCAGTTCGTCATCTTGCGCGTACTCCATTATCTAGTATTAATTTAAGCGAAGCACTTCAGCAATGGGAAGCTTATACTAAAGATAAACCATCGGTCGATATTCGAAATATTTGTACGCGTCTCCATGAGATTTATCGCGAGAGAAATGAAAGCAAGAAATCGAAACATTTAAGTGACATCTTTCCTCGAGAGAATGAGAATGATTCGAAGAAAACATTTGACGAAATTATGCCTCAATTTGAAGAAAAACCGAAGAATGATAATGAAACGGATTTACCCGAACGTTATCCAAAGATGCGAAACGATCCAGGAGATTTCTATGCTCAATTTACCCATTTAAATTTGAGCATCATGAAAAAACGACCTTATGAATCAAATGAAAGTTCAAATGAAGGTAAATTGCAATTTTTCGTCTCACAATAAACTCATTGATCTTTCAAGGTCCATCACCAAAACGAACATTGATTAGTCGACAAAATTTAATCAAAACCAAGTCACCTGTAATGTGCACCCGCTCAGTCAACCTTATCATTCTCACCGTGTTCTTTCATTTCTAGGGCGCTCCGAAACTATCGCGTTCACGTGCTTATACCGTTCCATTTGTTGATCGTAAGTTCATTGTTTCAATTCGATACATATATATAACAACGATTTCTTCTTTAGCACCCGATGGAATCTACCTCCGTGTAACAAAAGATATCAAGTAAGATTGGTTTTGTATTGAATTTGAGTATCTAAACGAGATAAGATCTTAACTTACTTTGAATAGTATCCTTTGCGAAGGTCATAGAAATATTGGAAGACTTACACAATGAATTTGACTGATATTTCTCTTATGAATGTTTAGACGTTTACGTAAAGAAATTCCTCAGAAGGAAATTCGTCGCATTGCACGCGCACCTTGGAAGAAACTCAATACCAATTTTGTCTCGTATGTTGATGATGATATAGTTGTGCTTGATTAAATCAACGTGCATCTGTACGGCTTTTTCTTTTCGCTGTGTATATAATACATAATCAATTTGTCTCTCTTTTCGGATCGGAACGAAACAGAAAAGGATCACAGAAAAAAAAAAAGAATTTTTGTTGTTGTTGTTGTTGTTACTGTCATTGACTTTCTCTCTTTCTCTTTTCCCTTCGATATTGAAATTCTATGTGTAATGATGAGATGATCAACTATTACTTCTCTTTTTTCTCGTTTGTCTAGATCTTTTTTTGTCCAAAATAAAAATCAATCAGAAAACCTATTTCATGATTAAATGTCTTTCGATTACATATGCTTCATGTACATGTGTTAATGTTTTTGAACATTGAAACGATCTGCTTGAGTGAACAATTGAGTCTAAATGATGATGATGAGGTGAAGGACTTTTTTATTTTCAATTTTCTTTGTACGAACACGCTTGAGAAAGAGAGTGTTGAAATTGTATACGCATATTATACGTACATTCATTAAACAGAGACTGACAAGTAGGAAGATGGATCATTTGAATGTTCAAAAATGGGCAAGTTCTTTACGACAGTCGCCAAGAAATCTCTTCCAGGTAAGATTTTTTAGTTGTTTGTCCTGTGACGATGTCTGACATTGGTGTTATTGAAAATCAAAGACAACGATTCTAATCACATTCGATCCATGTTTTAGATATAACTTTTCTACTAATCTCATTCTTTTATTTTCGACTATTTTTCTCATTATGAACTTACTTTTTAATGTCACAGAATCTCGAATATTGTCAATTGGCAACTGCGATCACTTCTCCGCCGATTCCTCCGAAATACCCTAAACGAAATCTATCACGTCAATATTCTGTACCAACCTCACCGGAATTCAATCTTCCATCGAATGAATCATTCCCACCGACAATTCACTCGGTAAGTTACAATGATTAAAGAACGAAAAAGCGAAGTGATCAGTGTTTAATGCGAAAAAGTGGCGTCATTAAATATTCTATTGAAGTTGTTTTTTCCTTTTGTTGTTTCTCTCTAGCCACCTTTCGCAAGTGATGGTAGTGAGGGTAGACAATATGACGTTCGAAACGTATCATCGTCGTTGAAAATAAAAGAAAACAAAACAGCAAATGATGTAAGTATAGTTTAGTATATGCAAATCTAAAAATAAGTCGTTGCGTTTCTTTTTCAGAATCACAAATATTCGTTTACATTAAGTAAGAAAACAATTTACGATAACAGATTTTGAATTTGAGAGTTTAGATTTACCATCTTCGAGAAACGAACCCGATCGAAGCTTGAAACCGGTAAGACAAGAAAGAGAAGGTGAATAGAAAGATTTTATTTCCTTTTAGCGTTTTTATAAATTTGATATGACTACAAAAAGCGAAGCGAAGATAACAACGTCGTCGAATATGCCATTTCATGATACGACAAAACCGAATATTCGTACTCCGCCATCAGATCATCTGGAAACTGATGAGTTGAGTGATGCCGGCACTTATATCATCGATGACGATGTCGATGCTGTACAAGATACGAAATTCAAAGCACAATTGGATCCATCGTCGTCAATACTCAAACGATATGTCAATCAAACGAAAACTCGACATGGAACGTTTGAACTTCGTGGAGCAATTGCCCAAACGATGCATGCAGTCAATCGTCCTGTCGTAGATGCTAACATTCCAAGACGAGAATTATCCCGATCATCGAATTCTTCACCAGCATCATCATTACATTCGTTTCCTGATGATGAGGATTGGATTCATAGTCCATCCGAAATAGCAATTTCAAACAAATCTTCTGACCAGTTCTCACATACAACAACACCACCAAGATATCAAATTAAACCAGCAGAATGTTTTGGTACGAAGTGTGTTTTGCAGAAACGTTTAGATTTTATCAATTATGTTTTTCAGTTATATCGCCAACCTTTGAAACCAAGAAATATCCCGCTACAAGTGCTTCAGAACGCAAATTAGATATGCCATGGCGGTAAGATGTTCATATGCTTTGAATTTCAAGATGAAACCTGCTTCTTCTAGAGAAAAATTCGCTGCTAAATCGGCATCTACAAATAATGCAAATTCATCGACAGACAATTCTGCATCTTCCGCAATACGACCCAATCTGAATGTGACCGAAAAGCAATCTTCGACAAACGCACCTACTCGACCACATACATTATTTCAAATTAATTCCTCTGTTTCTCATTCAGAACCACCGAATTCACGCTTGACATCTTCAACATCGAATACCCTTCCTAATGATGTTGATGACTCTTTATCGAAAGTACCGATGACTAAGTCATTCTTTCTACGTCAACAACGTTCAACTGTTACTACACCGACATCGAAACCCGTTCAACCAACAAAAACATCTTTGCATCCACCATTGAAACAGACAGCAACAATTGCGTCTTCCTTGCCTAGTTCAAGTTCACAAACAAATCGAGCTGTGGAACTACGTCGTGCACGGGCACAAGCAAAAATCGAAGAATTAGCTCAACGTACCAAAAAACAGTTGCAGAAACAAGAGAGTAGCTCGAAAAATAACATTATGAGTACTTCATGGCACAGCAATGCAAATAGTTTGGGGAAAAATAATTCAGTAAATGGTCGAACGAGCACGCGAACAACTACGAAGCCAACTGTCCTTCCTGAGCGAGAGAATCTGTCAGCAACGCGTACGATTTCATCTGCAGCTCCTCCTCATCGACCCGCTTCGGCAAGTCCCAATCGACCTGAACAAAAGCTGACATTATCTGAGTATCGGAAACCTGTCCGAATCAATCAATCCAACACACAACAATCTCAACGAATGACAACAAGTGCTTTTAATCTTGGAACAGTAAGCCGATATTTTTCTTTGTTTGAATAGACGAAATTTGTTGTTCTAGGAACATTGTGACACGTTACGAGAAAATGGTCAAAGATTAGCAATAAGGTTAATTCAACTTTCATCTGGAATTTTAGAGAAACTCAAGTAAAATCTGTCTCTATTGAAAACGATTTATATTTCTTTTGAACTGCTTAGATTAAATGATTCGATCGTCGATAATGATACAACTGTCAGAGAACTACAGAAACTTGTTGAAAAATTACAAACAGTCAATCAGACATTAACCAGTACGTACATTTCAGCGACTAAATTCTTCGAAATTTTTTTGATTTTTTTCAGCAATTGATGCTGCACTAACCGGTCCGATCAATGACGATGCTTTTGTTTAATTTCCTGACACAATATTTTTTATTCAATTTCCATTTTGGCTCGAACATTTATTTTTCTAATTTGTCAATATGTTATGCTTTTTATGTTTTATATATTTCGACAACCACTAAAAGAACACTTTTTCGTCTGCTTAGTATTTGTCTCTGTGACACTGACCTTTTCATAATAATCTCTCATCTTTCTTATAGATACTTGCTAAAAATAATAAAAGTCTTTTTTTGCTCGGAGAAAACTATGCGACAGAATTGCCATTCAATCTTGAAATGGTCTTTATTAACAGGAACATCAACGATTTTATTGAAATTATGTTATGAAACTTTTCTAAGAAGTGCAATAACAACAACAAATAGATCGGCTTCAACCTATGAAAACACTCTGACCTCTTGGGCATCAACGGGAAAGCGTTCCATAGCAAGTCCTACGCGACTAGTCGATACAAAACTTCGCGATGACCTACAACTTATTGGTGCACAGATCTATTTTCGACATGGCGCTCGCACACCTCTTCATCTATTACCTGGAATAGAAGAAATATCCTATAGTAAAGAACATATCGAGTCTTATCCCTTCTCAAAATGGGATATCAAATTAATTACGAAACTAGGCAATAACGTCGTTTCCAGAGATAAGATTTCTTCAGCGAATGACATCATCGGCGATCGAGTTCGGCATCTCAAGGTAGAAATCAAACCGAATAATGAAAAGAAAACTGTTCATTTTCAGTCTTCATCAGGTGACAGAGTCGTGACGGGACAGTTGACCGCTCTTGGTGAAAAGCAATTGTATGAACTTGGAAAAACAATCCGAAAGGAAATTATCAAAGAAGATGGTAGTGGATTAATACCGACGGTTTATGATCCAAAGATTGTCTAGTATGTATAAATGCGTGTGAATAGTTATTTGACACAGTTGATTATTGCAGTTGTCGATCGACATTTATGGATCGAACTGTGGCGAGTGCTCGATCGTTTCTTGCCGGATTATTTTCATCGTCTGAGAAAGGTGATAAAATTCAAGCGAAAGGTAAATTCAGTCCATGCAGAAATAACTTAACGTCGAGAAAAATATATTAGGTGCATTTGAGATCGAAGTGCATAATTTTCCGGATGAAGATATGGTAAAGAATTCAAGTTCGAATTACATAGCAAGATAGACTTTATTTTGCGTTTTTAGTTTCCAAATTCCCATGCTTATCCAATTCTAAAGAAATGTCTAACAGCCGTGCAACTCTATTCTTCATTACACGACGATCACGATCTTAAAAAAGCTCGACAAGCTTTAATTGATCGCATTGGTAAAAAGATCGACTTTTAACTTCAAACTTATTCTCACTGATTCAAATTCATTTAGGTGTCTCCGATTATAGTGACGGTATTCTCGAATTGTACGATGATATTGTTTCAAGACAAGTTTGTTTTACTATGGTTTTTTGTTCTTGTTATTATTTCATTTGATTTAGGCACATAACTTCTCGATTCCGAAAGACTTTAGTGAATTAACGAAAGATTTCGAAGTGATGTCAGCACGTGAATTTGTTTCAATGGCGTAAATATTCTTTCCTTTGTCACATATTTCCGATGTAGAATCCGATTTAGAACATCCATTGGCTTTGATGTCTTCATACGTGCAACGTGTGGGCCTTTATTATACTTAATGAGAGAAAATTTTGACTCTATAGCGAAGAATTATCTAGAAAATAATGAAAACAAGTAAAATCAAATTTTTGTTCAATTTAAAATCTGATCAACAGACATTTATAGATCTTATCAAAAACTGTTTCTCTACTCCGGTCACGATACAACTCTAGTTCCATTAGCAATGGCACTTGAGGTAATGGATTTCCATTTGAATTTGGTTTAACAAAACAAATTCATCTAAATTTCATAGATCTTTGATATGCGTTGGCCAAAGTATGCATCTCATATTCTCATGAAATATTTCATTTCGAAAACTAATCCCAAAGAAACATACGTTGCCGTTAACTATGCTGGCGAAGTAAGTCATTCAGAAAGTATCATACATTTCAACGAATGTATTTCACGTTCTAATTATAGCCACAGATCTTACCGAATTGTGATAGCTATTATTGCCCTTATTCGACACTTATGGGAAATTTACAGAATCGTTTTGAAAAACCCAAAGTTATCAACAAACATTAGTTATTCAATAGGCAAAGACATCATTGTTTTTCAAACGTCTAGTATAATCCATACGTCTCGGTCAGAGTATTTTATTTTATTTTTTCATGTATGATATTTAATGTGTTTTTTTCAAAACAAACAAATATACTATTCCAGAAATTGCGTTAGCTTCAATAATTCAATTCATACTTCTCATCTGTACTGTAATCTACTAAACACTCCGACTTGATTTCAAGTAGTTTTGTAGACAATCCTTTTCCAAAATACTTCTCCTTTATGAAATGCAGCACTTAGATAGTGTTTCACAAATACCATTCTTTGCATAACTGTACTGTTGCTGTGAAACAAAAATTACAAATAGGATTGAGGTAATTTAGTGTTATTTGAATTTAGATGAAATATATGTTCTATCTGACGTGCTAAAATAACATCAGCATCAGTCACTACGGCAGTGACGTCAGTGCACACTCATCATCTGCAGCTGCTTCATTGTCGTTCTCTCTCTGACGTTCGGATTGAATCAGTTAAACTTCACAAATGTTTTTTTTTGTAATCAGTTTATCTTCTTCTACACCAAATTTCACCTGACTTTAACTTGGCTAGTTTATCATTGATGAAGATGACTGATGCGATTATTCACCAGAAAGAACTTGTTTTCCTTGCGTCGGTTGATGATGATAAGATGAGTATTGAAGAGGAAAGAATTTTCATTAGACCCATCGGCGATAACGATTAGTTTTGAAATTTGTTTTTTCTGTCGATAGATGGGAGCTTACCATTGATTTTTATTGGCGGAAGAAAGGAAATAAATAAATAGAAATAGAAAGAAAGTCGGTCGGCTATATCTTTACTTGCTGTCATAACGTCACTACTATCATAGATACGAGAGGAAACATTGAAAGAAAAATTATTTGTACAACGAAGAGCAGCTCTTACGAAAGTTTTTTCTTACTTTTTAGACATTACATGTAGTTTATCATATTCAAAACGCATCTTATCTCCATACGAAATGTCACCGGTACCAAACGTGACAAATGAAACAATGATATTGAGTGAAGCATCAACAACAACTGTATTCAATGGTATTTCGTCACTCGATGAATTCGATTTAGGCGGATTACCTATGCAAGAAGTCGATATTGGGTGAGTTTGATTCTATTCGCTTCCTCGAGTCGTTTTCTTCTTTCTTTTGAGTTCAGATCGTTAACCATGGACGATACTAACGCATCTGATAATGAAGAACCTTCTTTGGTAGCTGAACAGTCCGTGCCTCCGCTTACACGTTCTTCAATACCTGTGACCACAAGCGACGATCGTCGAATTCCACCGGCACAAGTTGAAGTTCGTTCTCCAGTTCCTCGATCGACTGATAATTCACATAGTGATGATAACAGCGGTTTAATTCGCACATTTTTCGGATGTTTTAAACCGATCTTTTATGCAATGAATAAATTCGGTGAGAATATCAAATCGACCAAAGATATGACAATCAATTCGTTAGTCAAAACATCAGATGATTGGGAAATTCCCATTGATTCGATTATGAACGATTTACACTTTATTGGCACTGGAATGGAAGGATCGGTCTTCCATGGCAAACTTAATGGTCAAGACGTAGCATGTAAACGAGTGAAAAGTAAAGAAGAAACGAATATCAAACATTTGAAAAAACTCGATCATAACAATGTGGTGAAATTTCGAGGTTTGTTTCGTTTATTTTTGTATTCCATTCAGTTCCAATCGTCGTTTGTCTTCAGGCATTTCAATTGCACCACCTCTATTTTATATCGTGATGGAATATTGTGCTTATGGTTCATTGTATGATGTATTGAAACGCCGTCGCGACATTCGATCATATACAAAACCTACTCAAGTTCTCGATTGGTCAAGACAAATTTGTAATGGTGTCGATTATTTACATTCAAATAAAATAGTGCATCGCGATTTAAAATCGCCGAACATACTCTTCTCCGACCAACACACGTTGAAAATATCCGATTTTGGTATTAGCAAAGAATTGGGCAATCGTCGAAGTCAGATCATGTCATTTAGTGGAACTAGCGCATGGATGGCGCCAGAAGTTATCCGAAAGGAACTTTGTTCGGAAAAAATCGATGTTTGGTAAGAAAGTTCATCCTTAGACTTTCATTCCGATTCTAGGTCACTCATTAAAATCATCAGCAGACATTTTTCACTATGAAAGAGAATAGTCAAATCGAGGCAATGTTCGATGTATATAGTAATACAATTATTTCTTATTAGATTAGGAAATTTGATCTGTAATCGATCGCAGATACAAATAGAATCCATTAGTTATATACCAATGACTCATTCTGAAATATGATCTGTTTGCTTATAGGTTATTGTTTTATTTAGTTCATGCTTATTTTAGGTCTTTTGGCATTGTTCTCTGGGAAATTTTAACTTGTAATGTACCATATGATAATATCGATCCAAGCGCAATTGTATGGGGTAGGTATATCAAATACAATCCCTTATAAAGCACTTGGATATTTCGTTTAGGTGTAGGTAAAGGTAGCTTGACACTACCCATTCCCGCTTCTGTGCCCGAGGGCTTTAAATTACTAATGAACATGTGCTGGGATCAACAACCATCGAGGCGTCCATCATTTCCTGAAATCACCAAACACCTTGACGCGCGCAAACCTGAGATAATCCTGTTTGAACAGGAACAAGAGTACGCGGAATTAACACGTGTATGGTCAATTGAAATCAATGAACAATTATCGAAATTTCCTACCATTGACATATCATCTACACTTCGTATGAATCATGATGAATTGTTGAAAAAACGTCAAGAAGAATTACAACATATTGTTGACATCCGTACGCATTATCAAAAACGTGTCGAACAAGTTGATACATTGTACCTCGAATTAAAATCGTTCATGATGCAATTGGAACAACGTGAACGTGTAATTAAAGAGAAAGAACATCTTCTAAAAATTAATACCAAAAAACCAACAATAAATCCTATATCCGAAGCGAGAAAGAAATCGTTAGAACTTATTAAACTTGCTACGTCAAATTTAAATGATCCGATGCATTTATTACTACACAAAAAACGAAATACGAAAAAATTTACTTCTGACCGTAAGTTGAACGAGTTTTGATGTCCTATCTCACTTTATTTCTTGAATAGTTTCCCATAGTCAATCAACTCCAATGTCACGCCAACCGAGTTTAACAACAACGAATCGAAATTCTAGCCATTCGAAAAGTCCTTCACGACGTCGAAAACTTTCCAACAGTCGTCGAACTAATACGAAAATTGATAATCCAGACCCGCGACGACCATCCGTAACAATCACCAATGGTGCGAATACAGTTGTATATATTGCAGATCAAACAACAGAAACAATACCGGTGGCTACTTCTTTACCAACAATATCAGCCGAAATCGAATCGAAATCAAAAGGGCATACTCGCGAGTTAAATCCGAGAAATCTCAAACTTGATTTACAGGATTCGAAAACAGCATCACTATCTTCATTAAATCGTCAGCGATATATGCCTGATTTTTCCATTCCGCCTCGAAAATCATCAAGCAGTGGCCCGGAAGATTTCGATGAATATCGTCATCGGACATTATCTCGGCAACGTCCACGGCGTCGCATGAATTCGGCAAATAAAACGCGTTCGTCTTCAGTTAAATCGACTGATCATCTTCCATCGGAAGCAAATGAAACATCACAGCCTATTACACACGCCACATTACAATTATCACCAACCACTCAACGTAAATTAACAAAGCACCTTACGTATACATCTTCTGAAGAAGGCGAAGTCGAAGAAATACACAGCGATAATTTTGTTCTCGATGATGAAAAACATCGCGCTAAGCATCAACAAACCAATGGAAATTTTTCGTCCGAAGGTGAAAATTATGGAGATAAGTCAAATGAATCGTTTTCGAAAAATGAGGGTAAAACTGCTTAGACTGTTGAATGTTTTATTATATGAGATATTTTAGGTATGCTTTCAGATGAAGGTGGCCATGTTTCTGATAATCGTCCTGAATCACGTGAATCAATGTTGAACGGTGAATACGTAGAAGAAGAATGATGAAGGGTTTTTCCATCGGAATTCTTTTCAATCAAAATTTTATCTGTCCACCGTCGACGAAACGTCGTTTCATTCAATTCATTTGCTTACAAATCTGTTATGTTCAACAATCCATTCTTATTTTTCAATTGTAGTTTTGTTTTTGTTCTTGTTATTTCGGGAAAAAAGAAAGGAGAATTTTTCTTGAAATGTGTCCATGATCAGTGCTAAATCGTATTAATTCGCTTGTGTGTTTCGTGTAACGCAATATCAGGTCTACGTAACATTAATCGCCTACTTTTTTTGTTCCGTTCTTGAATAACAGTAAATATGTTATGATCCATCGATTATTTTCATTTATCTTCTAGATTCGAAATTTACTATGACAGAAAGTATTTCCTCCGTCCAAGAAACAGTTGTTAATGGTGATATCGTCACCACAGTCACGGAGACTAAAACAGTATGATGGATTTGAATTTTTGCTCAATAAATATTTCTTTTTTTTTACAGTTGAATCCAGATCATACAGTCACGACGACAACAACTATCGATAAAACAGACCAGTAAGCGCCTTTCGACACATCAATAAACAAAAGCATAGCTTTGATCTGTTTTAGTGCCGATGAAGATAATCATGTTACAACAATCAATCAAACAACATCAACGCCATCGCCGGATTTAGACAAACAAATAATTCGACAAATTGAATATTACTTTAGCGACGTCAATATGCTTCGCGATAAATTTCTCAAAAATGAAGTGATTAAAGATGATGGTTGGATTCCCTTGTCCGTTTTGACAACATTTAAACGTCTTCAATCATTAACGACAGATTTTAAAACAATAATGGATGCCTTAAAGAAATCTATATCAGGTATCCTACAATTACATGAAACTGAGGACAAGATTCGTCGCCATCCAGATCGTCCACTACCGAATAGTCATGCTGAATTAGAATTAGCATTAAAAAATCGTACTGTTTACGTTGAAGGCATTCCTAAGACAGCTGATGTGACATTAGACAAACTACTTCACTTTTTCGATAAATATGGTTCGACCGATAATATTCAAATGAAAAAACAACCCAAAACAAAAGATTTTGCTGGCTCGGTATTTGTTGTTTTTCCTAGTGAAGAAAAAGCGCATGAATTTGTGGAGAATTCCAAGAAAACGCCAGTTAAATATGATGATGGATCAATTCTAGAATGCTCTTTGCAAGATCAGCTAACAAATCGAGGAAAAGAAAAACAAGCGAAGAAAGAAAAGAAACAAGAGGAATTAGAGAAAAAAACAAATGAACACTTAGAAAAATTAAACAATGAAAACTGTCTTGGTGCTCTCATTCATCTTGCCGGTAAAACATCGAAAGTAATTTCATTGTAAGAGTTGCTTGTTTATCATAATTCTAGGCATGGCTGCTAGTGCATCACGTGAATTGATCAAAGAGAAATTTCTTCCGTTTGCAAAAATGCCATGGATTGATTTTAATCGAGGCGATCCCGAGGTAGTATCGAAGTTGCTGTTTGAAACGTGGAAATTAATTCTAATCTTCTTTCAAGGCTTGGGTACGATTGAACGAAGCAAATACAGCGAAAGATGTTCTAGAAAAAGTGCTAGCAGCTGGAAATGGAAAATTAGTTATCGGAGATAAGGAAGTGACCAGTCGAGTTGTTGAAGGTGAAGAAGAAGCACGATTTTGGAAAGAAGCAAATGAAAAACGAGCTGCTCAACGAACTCAAAAAAACGAACGATATTCTGGAGGAAAGCGAGGTGGATTCAGTAAAAAGAAACGGCGTGGTGGACAGAAACGAAAAAACAATCAAAGTATATTATTTTATCAATCACACGTACGGAAATACTAGGAAACCTCTGATTGTGTTTTTCTAGATCAAAGCAATGAGTCAGATGATGATGATGGCGCATCCAGTGAATCAAATTCAGCAAAGAAAATGAAAGGTGTAACTACAGATTAGATCGTTTGTTCTTTTTGTGTAATGAGATTAGATCATCTTCCTAAGGAAAATGTTGTTTGTTATGATTTTTCTATCATGTTTAAGAAAAATCAATTGTTTCTTCATAAATAAATCATGTTATTGTGTGCATGATGGAACAGAATCATTTCGAGGATGAGAGTGTGACCACTTTCCTTAGCTTTATATCTCTATCTCTTAGAGAAAATCACTAGTCTTCTCTGAGATCGACTCTATAACAGACAAACCAAAAATCTTTTTCAATAATGAAAATATTTCAATGAAATATCTATCATTGAATGAGCACACTGTTGGATCGATTTGTTTGGTTTCTGAAATATATTAGAAATCTAAAATTGCTTTACTCGTGTAGTTTATTTAGTCGATTGGAACTTCAGTACGTAATATTTCGCATATAGCGAAGGAAGTAAAAAACTATAATAACAAGTAACGCTCATCCTTTGGATTCGCTGACCCTTTTCTGGAAGACTTTTCCGAATGCTGAACACATTCAAAGGCTTCGAAAGAGAAAAAACACACTCCGATTGCTACTAGTGCTCAACTGAATCATGGCACTATGTCACACACTAGAATGAATAGGATGCAAAAGTCTTTTTAGGAATCAGACCGATTAGCCATTTGTCAGTGGATAATTCTCCAGCACTAACTATGTTGACTGAAAAATTCATCGCTCAACGGCTAGTCAGACAGTCACTCACGGCCAACCATTGACCGTTGCCATCTGTTTTTCTATTTTCACATCACGCGCATGGAAATTTTCATAAATACTTTCCGAAGTCACTCATAGACGGACGATATACAGTAGACTTCTTGAAAAGTTTGAACATTCGCTTGTGTCTTCCAGCGATAAACCGATACTTTTCTCTCCTGCCAACAGAATGATACCTTGTCAAATATTTTCATTGAGGAATATTCATTCGTCACATCCCTTTCAAAGTTATCAGAAGCTTGGCAAGATTATTCTAAGCGTACACTTTAGGATTAATCTAGCATTTAAATGCCTAGTCGTTCGTCGACCTCCCTCCGGTCAGCCACTCACGGCTAGCCGTTGGCATGCTGTCTCTGTTATTCCTTTCGCCTTTGATCAACTTTCAAACTGAACGATTGGGTTTTCTTTTATTGTCGCTTCGACAATCATGATCTTCTATTCATTCGACTGCCCAAAGAAACTAGATAAGAAGGTCTTATTGTATGATTTGCTTCTAAACGAACATCTTTCATAGTGCTGCATGTATTCAGAATACTGTTTCTATAGTCCACACGTCTGTAGTTACTAACGAGGGAACATATTCAGGTGATTAAGCTATTCAAATCCCAACTTTTGGTGATAGATAGACCTCTATGAGGTATGAAAAACCTCAAGAGGATTCGTGCCCTCGCGCCTTTGTTCCACAGATATTGAGTTCTCAAGATGTATACGAAAAGAGACTGAAATGAAGGATGATCGTTTTTATAGAACAGTAGAGTTTTCAGGTGAAAANTTTCACCTGAAAACTCTACTGTTCTATAAAAACGATCATCCTTCATTTCAGTCTCTTTTCGTATACATCTTGAGAACTCAATATCTGTGGAACAAAGGCGCGAGGGCACGAATCCTCTTGAGGTTTTTCATACCTCATTGAGGTCTATCTATCACCAAAAGATGGGATCTAAATAGCTTAATCACCTAAATATGTTCCCTCGTAAGATGGAATTCCAACGACGGGTATATCACTTTACGAACTACTTCTACTAAATTCCCATAAAAAGACATGATGTATGTAGCCTAAAAAGCAAATATGATACTAACGTAAGCTCATATAAGTTTTTCGAATTTCTTGAATTAGAAACATCATCATGTACAATACATTAGATCTTTTCGTGCAAGTTCTTGAGCTACTATCTTTGTACGCATGACGCCCGTGAATAGCGTTCAGCTCACCATCTTCTACAAAAGATTTCAGAACAGATAAAGAAAAATACCTCCTCTGTAAAGAGGAAGGAACAAGCCCAGGCTCAGCAAATAAGACAAAATTCACCCTCAAATTCGAATTTCCCCACGTCAGAAACCTTTCGGTCTACTTCGACAATGGATGTTAATAAGTCGTGGCTAGCTAATGAAAAATTAATAATTAATTAAGCGATACTAACCTCGGATTCGTGATCCTCGACCTCAATTACCCTTCGGTCGACCTTACTCAACAACGAAGAAAATTTTCATCGCTTAATTAGCTAATGAGCTAAGTAGGATTCCGAGAAACTAACCTCCGATTCAAGTTCCCCGACCTCGATTACCCTACCGGTAATCATTTTCTAACAACTATCGATCAATTTCATTGATTTTAGAAATGCTGATTTCTGATTGGATAGGACAGACAGACAAACTTTAATCTTTTTAGCACAGCATTTAAACGCTGTACAACCCTTTCTTTCAGAAAACGGAAAAATAAACTTCATATATCTACCCATTCAAATATGCTCGTGAACAACAGATACCGTGATGCAATTAGTGACTATGATATACATCGCCTGATAAATCAACATCACGTAAAGCAACAATCATAGCAATAAATATCCCCCGATTAAAAAACTAGTTACTTCCAACAATATCATCAACGTAATGTAGATCCGAAACTCGGCGTGGTTTTTGAATGCTACCTATGACCACATCTATCACATTTATCTCTCATATCGAGAACCTTGCTTCGCCTGAAGGTAAGTCAAACAATGTTCATAAAACGGAGCAAAACATCATGCACGAATTTCCCTCATAATCCCTATGTTCAAGTGTGATGCTCACTTGCAAGTGAACACTGCCAGTTGATCACATCATGCACCATCACATCACAAATCAATCATTCTCATAATCACTCTGTTCAAGTGTGATGCTCACTTGCAAGTGAACACTGCCAGTTGATCACATCATCCACCATCACATCACAAATCAATCATTCTGAAGATCACTCTGTTCAAGTGTGATGCTCACT